GAGTTGTTGGTCTGGCAAAATATGTTTTTAGTCTCACTAACAATTAACTAGATTTAAAATGTTTCTTTTCTCAAGTTTCTTGAAACTATAGGGTATTATTGCTCGCGGTGGCCCTTGGATATTATTCATAGATTTTCCATCTGACTGCACACCTGTGATACTTCGGTACCTTGAAGTGAAACTCATATCCCAGGATACACTCCTTACCGGCCTCTTCCAGAGAAAACCAGCAGATAAAAGAAAACAAAAATCTTCCAAACACTTTGGAAGGTCTTTGATATGTTAATGAATGGTTCGCAGTATTCAGGGAATACTGGGCATGGAGTCTCATACCTACTCAAACAGACCCCAGTTAAACACGTCTCTTTGAAAGGACTCTTTCACCTACTGGGAAGAACTGAGACAAAATTCATGCAAAAGGAGGGGAGGAAGCCCAGGTCTCATCATTACCTTTACCACTTTTATTTCCTAATTCCTTTTTGTCTTTCATAGAAATGAAAAAGTTTAATCCCCAAACTGAATAATTTAGAGGCTTCATGATGTACATATCCCCTCCTGAACACAGATTACTGACTGGGCAATATTTTGCCCAAATTTTTCAACAAACATGAACCTAGGTTACTTGTTTTTGGTGATTATGAAACCTCTGAAAGTCACTGAAATATTATTTTATAGGGCATATTATAGTAGGCAACTTACTTTGCAGATGTTAAGGTGAGACTGTTAAAACCAGATTGAATTTTGCAACTAGCAGCAAAAGTATTTATGTTTTTTCTTAATTGGGTGAAACTGGTTTTGTACTAGAAGTTAATGAGAGAACACAGTGGCCTTTCATGGCAGCTGCAATGCCAGAACCATGGGCTCTTCTCTGGCTCAGCCAACAGAGCCACCACCAGCCTCAGCTTCAGGAATTTCAGTTCCTCAAGCTGGGCAGCGTCAGGCTGAAAGGCACAAGCTTCTTAGGACAGGAAGACCATCATCCGGATTTGCATCCAGAGCTTCAACCACAGGGCAGTCCTCAAGGCAGATGGCAACATAGGTCTTTTCCAGTTTCAGTCCCTCTCACAAGAATAACTAGCAATGATTTATAGATAAGGTGCTATTAGGGATGTCCCAGAACCGGAGGATGAGGCTGCAGTGCCCCTCTGGACTCCAGAGACAGAGAAGGACACTATTAGGAGGTCAAAGGCTACACTCTGACCCCAGAGGCCTTCCCCAACACTGATACACTGTTGTACCAAGAGGGATCCTGGGCCTGTGGGTTACTCAGTGGGAAAAGAGAGCACAAAGTAGGTAAGATATCCAGCCTCCCATAACTGTGAGATGCTTCCTACGAGACCCACTTGGGTCTTGCCTTATAGCGATTACTGGAAGAATCTGCAGGACTCAATAACTGGGGATCAGGTAGAGACAGAGAAGATTGCTGGAGCCTAAGAGCAACCAGTAGTCACATCTGGGTGGACCATATTCCTGCTGACAGCAGAATATAGACAACAGTTCTGTGATATCTATGGTAACAGGTAGTAACTGCACAGTTAATAATATGGGTAACTGTTGAACCACTGTGTTGTATACTTGAAACCAGTATTATACTGTATATCAACTATACTTCAATAAAAGAACAGAGAGGACTCAAATAAATAAAGCAGAAATGTTAGAGGAGAAACTCTGATATCACAGGTAGTATGAGGGTTCATAAGAGAGACTACCAAAAAAATTGGTAACCTGGAAGAAAGAAATATATTTCTAAAAATATACTTATGAAATAAATTGAAGAAGACTTAAGTAAATGGTTTATGATTTTCATGTTTTGAAGAATTAATAGTTTTAAAATGTCCATACTACCCAAAAGCATTTATAGATTAAGTATAATCCCTATCAAAATTCCAATGGTGTATTTCACAAAAATAGAAAAAAAGTCCTAAAATTCATAGAGAATCACAAAAGACCCTAAATAGCTGAAGACATTATGAGAAAGAGGAACAAAGCTGGAGGGATCACACTTTCTGATTTCATACTATATTACAAAGGCATAGTAATGAAAAAAAATGTCATTACCTGCATATAAAAAGACACATAGATAAATGAGATAGAATTGAGAGCCCAGAAATAAATCCATGCATACAAGGTCAACTAATATTTGATGAGGGAGTGAAGACTACTCAATGGGGAAAAGATATTCTCTTCAATTAATAGCACTGAGAAAACTAGATATTTTCAATCAAAAGAATGAAGCTGAATCCTTATTTTATACCACTCCTCCAAATTAATTTGAAATGGATTAAAGACTTAAGTGCAATACCTGGAACTACAAAACTCCTAGAAGAGAAACATAAAACAGGGGAAGAAGCTCCTCGATACTGGTCTTGGCAAAGATACTTTCAGATGACAGTGAAAGTACAAGCAACAAAATAAAAAATAAGTAAGTGGGATGGTATATAAACCTAAAAAGCTTCTGCACAGCAAATGAAGTAATCAACAAAATGAAAAGTCAACTATAGAATGGAAGAAAATATTTGCAAATCATATATCTAATAAGAAGTTACTATCCAAAATATGTAAGGAATTCATACAACTCAGTAGCAACAAAACAACAAACCCCCCCCAAATAATCTGATATAAAAAATGGACAAAGGACCTGAATAGATATTTTTTTAAAGAAGACATACAAATGGCCAACAGATACATAAATATGTGGTCAATATCACTAATCATCAGGGAAATGCAAATCAAAACCACACACCCCACACCTGTTAGAATGACTATTATCAAAAAGACAAGACATAAAATGTGCTGACAAAGATGTGGAGAAAAGGGACCCCTGTGCACTGTTTGGGGGAATGGAAATTGGTGCAGGCACTATGGAAAAGTGTAGGGAGGTTTCTTAAACACTTAGAAGTAGAACTATCAAAACATCCAGCATTTCCATTTCCAAAATCACTGTCTCTAAGAGACATCTTCACCCCCATGTTTATCACAGCATTATTTACAGCTACCAACACATAAAAACAATGTAAGTGTCCATCAAGGGAGGGATAAAATAACATGGTATGTACACAATGGAACATTATTTAGCCATAAAAATGAAGGAAATCCTGCCATTTTTGATAACACATTTGAACTTGAGGGCATTATGCTAAGGGACATTTTTAATCATCTTAGAACAAGGCTAATCCTGAGTCCCTGTGGGTCAAAGAAGACTCCCTCATTGTGTTGCACCACAAAGGGGCTTTGGAGACGCCTGAATGTTCCCTAAGAAGAAAGGAAGGGTAGTGTCACTGAGAGTCAGTCCACCTCGAGGGGCAGGCTCAGCTCAGAGACTCCTGAGCCCAGCTTCTCCTTTTCTCCCCAACACGCCTCAGGACAGTCGTGTTAAAGTCTCATCCAGGCTTCCGTTGTTCACTGGGGACCTAAGGAGGACCCGCCTGGCCTCTGGATGAAGTGACTGTTTGCTCTGCCTGAGGATGAAGTCGGGGGGCATGCAGGGGTCACACGTCACAGTGTCCCTATGGCCGGCTGACATCCCTCAAGCAGTCAGCTGCAGAGGCAGCCCTGGCAGGAAGAAAGTGAGGGACGAGGAATGAGAACACGGAGCTGCTGTCTTAGGAACTCCGGGCTTACTGGATTCTCTCTGAAGCAGAGATTAGTTGAGGATGTTTGAGCCAACGAATCCAGATGAAGCCATTGATATGGGTATAAAAAAGGGAGTGTGGCCCTGTTGTCTTCCTCATCTGGGAGGTCTGGGCATGGATGAATGCTAGGCGATCTACTGAAAACTCCAAATTTCTGTACATCCCACTTAAAAAGGAAAGAAATGTCATATACTCTTCCATATATAGACTGAGATGTTTTAGCAGTGAGATTATTAGATTATTATTAACCTCCGCATAGTTGTGAAATAATTTCTGTGCAAAACTTTTCAGTTAAAATTGCGAAGCCACAGATGTACCATCTGGTTGCGCGCTCTTCCTGCTGCCCTGCACTTTTCGGACAGCCACTGGCACTGTGGACACTGACGTGGCATGTGTTTAGTGTTGTTTTTGTTTTTGTTTCTGACAGAAAGCAGAAAACAAAAGAAACAGAGAAGAGGGGTAAAATCAAGGGAGAAGAATGGAGGACTGAGCCCCGGGGTGAGGGAAGCTGAACTTCCATCAAACAGAGGGAGGGGGCAGAGGCTGAGCGGGCTCAGAGCCGTCATTCTCACTCTCCTCCTGGAGAGCAGCCAATATCCAGAGTCAGCCTGTCACCTGTTGAGTATCATGTTTACGGGGAGAGAGACTCATCTGTGCCAGGAACACGCTGCCCAGCTCTGCCTCGTGCACCTGCAGACCCACGGCCACCCTGAGTGGATGATGTACCACTGAACGTGTGGGGCACACCTAGGGCCCCAGGCCATGGGGTTTAGGACTTGGACAGATGGAGCGCTGTTTACATTGGAGAGAAATGTCCTTTACATCTGACAAAGGCAGAAATAAAAATATAGTTTGAAAAAATGCTCTTTGAGCCAGGAGAGCCATGGAATATACTACTCATGGAAACCTATTTTGCAAACCAAGTGTCTGTGTTAGAATTTTTAGGAGCCTTATCCTGCTAATCACAATGCACATATACATCCAATTAAATCTATAGATTGTTTTTTTTAAGGGACTACCACAAATAGGCTTTCTCTTTTCTGAAATTATACCACTGAGTTTTGTAAACTTCAGTTCGATTTCTGTAAAATTTTGTCTGAGTTTCTGCACAGTATACCAGATGGTCAAAACCATTTTTTCTCTTAATTTGTTTCTAATGTTTAGGAACTCCCAGCTTGCTGCCATCTACAAATCTTAAAGCCATGGCCTTTATCTGTCTTCCTTTTGGTTATTAGTTAAATTTTTAACAAGACAGTGCTAAGGGCCAACATACTATTGGACTTTGCTGAAGACGCCTCTACTTTGTACTTTGATATTCATTAAAATTCTTTGGGCATCTAGCTACAACTTGATTTTTCAGTGAAGAACTGTTCATCTTCTTTCGGTTTCTTTTCCTTATCTTTACTACGGGATGGAATTTACAACAGCATTTCTCAAACCATCTGTGGTAAGGGACAGTTTTGCTTTTTATTTTCCAGTTGTTTGTGATCTATGCTTCTGTAGAATACAATAAAAAAATGAAATGTAAAAAGTAAAACTTCCAGAAAAATAAAATGTAAAAGAGAATTGAGACGGGAACAATTTTATTAGCTTCAACAGACATGAAATTACTTGCAGTAATCAGATCAAACATATAACAGGAAAAACAATTGTAAAAGCGATATACAATATTCACTGAAATTCTGCACATAGGTAATCAGTATTGGAAATACTATTACAGTTATAACTTCTTATTGTTCCTCAACTTTAACTGAATAAAGGCTCTGAGGGAAATAACACTTCCTCACACTAAAATCCTTTATGCACATTTTGAATAAATTCTGTGTATATTAATGATGTTTTTAATGTGACAGATGAATTTTATTTGTTGACTTATCTAATTCAGCTCAGATAAACAACAATGCCACTCACAGAGGTTAATGTCAATCTTAGCCTCAGGGTTTTGATTTTAGAGCATTCATAGTGCAGAAGCCAGTCTGAGAGAGAAACGCGCAGACTAGACTAGAAGAAAAGAAACTGAAGTATATTTAGTAACCTTATGGAATTGACTTTTACCTAACATAAAATAGGTGATTTTTTATTTTTAAAATTTATCTTTAATCCTTCACCAGTAGTGACTTCTAACCATTAATCTTGTATATTTAGTTAGTCATATTTTGACATAAGACATGGATTTCACATTTTTCTGGTGTGGATCACTGTTGGGAAAATAAAATTAAAAATGTTCTCTCAATTTTGCATTTGGTGATAATTTTTCATAAATGTGCAAAATCAAGATTCATTAAAGTAGGTATGCTTGTGTGTTTTAGGCACAGAAATACTAAGATGATTTTAAAAATGCAAACATTCTGGTGCGAGGCAGGACTGTACTTGGTGCCCTGATCACTTGGCAATGCTGATAGGAGATTCAAAAGTATAACTAGCTTTCCTTATGATATTTTCATGCCAAATTTGAAAATGGGACTATCTGCTAGGAAATATTCCAGTATTTTATATGCAAACATTCAGGTTAACTCTCCCACAGACATATCATTAATTTCCTTAGTCTGCCTATGCACTTTAAAGAGAGGATCCCCAAGGAGCTACTGGGAGCAGTGGCGAGTCACTAATGTATTCCAACTTCACACTGGCAGAAACTGCTTCACATCTGGTATTAAAAAGTGTCCACATGTCTTGTTCCTTCTGACAGTTCTTGGTACACTTTAAGTCATACTATTCATTTAAACGTTTTTTAAAAGATGTGTCCAAATTGCTTTTATTTTCATGAAGTTTATATGTAAAATCATCTCATCAGAAAGCTAGAGGATTCATGAGTTACACAAATTACCCATGTGTAAATTGTTGCCACTTGAATTTAAATCTTTTAATAATATGATGAGCAATGAGGGTTATAATTGTGGAAATCTTAATAAAATCATACCTAAAATGATAGCAAATACCTGCTCAGGAAGGACCTTTGATTGTGGCCAATACTAATAAAGCATCCAAGCAGAACTACGTTCTCCTTGTTCTGTGTACGATACGGACCATGTATGTATGTAGGTGGCTATTGCTGCTGTCACAAATTACCACAAACTTGGTGGCATAAAACAACATAAATTTATCATCTTTCAATTGTCGAGCTCAGAAGTCTGAAATGGGTCTCACTGGGGTAAAATACAGGTGGTGGCTGGTCTGTGTTTCTTCCTGGAGTCTGCAGGGGAGAATCCGTTACCTTGCCTTTTCAAGCTTCCAGAGGCCACCTTTCTTGTCTCATATCCCTGGTTTCTTCATCTTCAAAGACATCAAAACTAGGCCATATCCTCCTTACACTGCCACCTCTCTAATTCTCCCTCCTCTATCAGCCTCTGTCACTTTTAAGGATGCTTGTGTTTCCATTGCGCTCACCCCGATAATTCAGAATAATGCCCCCATCCCAAAGTCAGCTGATTAACAACACTAGTTCTATCTGAAACCTCAGTTCTCCTTTACCATGTAGCCGAAGATGTGGACAGGTTCTGGAGTCAGTATGTGGCCATTTCAGGTGGGCGCTCTCCTGCCTGTGACCATGCATTTCATCTTGCATGCAATGCCATTACTCAATTATTGTCATCGCGGAAGAATTATTAGATTCTTGATAGTAGGGACTCTTCCACCATTTCATTCTGATAAATACAGCAACATGTAGCTTGGTAAATGCTTTTGAATGTTTGTTGATATGTCATGTCATATTTTACATGCATGCATACATGTATATGTGTTTATAAACTATAATGAAAACTTTGAGGCTAAATCCACAAGGAGGCAACTTTACTGAGTAGACTGGTAAGTTTTGAGGAGGTAAATACATTGAACTTCTACTTCCCTACTTACGTTCTGATTCTATTGACAGAGACAGAGGAACTGGCAGCTAGAGAAGGAAATGGAAGCTTTGTTAGCGAGAACGAGCAGGTTGGAGGAGGGTGGCGAAATGGGCTCCCTAGTGCTTACGACCAGAGATGAGCAGTTTCCCATCCAGTCCCCGCAGTGCTGGAAACCTCCCATGGGCATCCATCCTGATAGTACTTTTGGCATGGAGGAAGGATCAGTGGGGTCACTCTTAGGGGCAACAGAGTGTGGGCTACACACTGGGTCCTCTCTCAGATTCACCCTGTGGTGACCTCACTCCCATGGGGAGAAGTCAGAGGAGAGCACGTGCCCAGTGCCCAGGGAAAGCCCTCCTCACGGAAACCACCCCTGTGGGTGGGAGACGTTCCTCTCCGCTACCTGACAGACTGGTCACTTCACTAGAAATACAACTCAGCCAGTTTGCTCAAAATGTTGAAACCAGTTGTGGATATAGACAAAAGAGCATTTATTTTGAATATAAATACAAATTCTTAGAAATCCATTAAAGTCAGTAATAAAACTTGGTAATATTATATAGTATTTTAACTCTCTTGAAATATGTCAGGAAATAGGCAGGACATATATTGGTTATTAACCTGTAAAAACCCATTTGCCAAATAATCTGCCCCACCACTTGTTCAAATAGTTTTTGGTTTCAAACTATTTTGATAAAAGTTGACACACTTTTTTTGAAATAAGTAAATAGAAAGTTGGTCTAAACTATGCACAATAATGAGAGGAACACTTAAAAATAATTATCTGAATATTCATAAATATTAATAATATTTGTTTTCCTTTATACCAGAATCTATAAATTGCAAAGTAAGCTCCAAGTGAAACATGGCATCTACGTGGAAGCTGTGTGTTAGGCCTTTCCCTGCTGAAATGACGTGCTCTTTGAGGTTAGGGATGGGATCGTGCTAACCTTTGTAAAATGTATTGCCATGCATGTCTCAGAAACACAGCACAAGTTTGTTGAGGTAAAGAATACATGAACCTTCAGAAGATAAGCAGGAGTCATTTCCATTTGGTTGGAGCCAAACTTCCTGAGTTCAAATCCAGCCTCTGCAATGCATGATTTTAGGCCAGTCCATTAGTATCTCTGCACTTTAGTTTCCTTCAGCTGTAAAAGGACTATTACAATAGAGCCTACTGTGAGATCATTGCAAAGGTCTTAGGACAGCAGCCAGCACGTTCTGGGTGATAATGATGTATGTTCATAGTAAAGGAAATAGAAGCTCAGAGATTTCTTCCATGTCACATGATTAGAAATGGCCAGGACTTGAACCCGCTATTCTGATTCTTAACTCTGGCTTTGTCTAATATGTCGTATCTTTGAGATACATGTATTCCTAGGGTTTAAACTTTTCATTTTGCCAGCTAGATGTTTGGGCCTGCGTCAGGAGGCTCCTACAGTGAACTGTTCTTATGATATCCAGCTTTATGGGCTTACTTTTTTTTTTAAGCTCAAATATGTAATTTGACCAATCAAGTCATGTAACATCTATGATCTCAATGATCGCCCAGAATTTATGATGATTTTCTCAGGACTTTCACAGGGTCACACTGGGATTCTTATCTACAATTTATTTTAATGAAGAAACAAGTTACTTATCTTTTTTTCTATATATGCACTTACTTTTTCTGTGAAACTCACTAAAGCAATTGCTATTATACTATTTTTTAAACATAATTTTGCTAATACTATTCCTCTTAGAGAAATGGCAGTCTCCCTGTATACATATTTGGGGAAATTATGAAGCATTGCCAGTCTAAGTTACGTAGAAAGTAATAAGTCTGTTTAACATTATCAATTTTAAGTATAGAGTCCTTACATATTTTTCAAAACTTAGTCTTTATTCAAAGACCAAGTCACTTTCCAACAACCAACATACCCATTCCCTCTCTCTCTACCATAAATATTCTCCTATTGATCTTACCCACTTCTGAATTTCCAAAAGTCTAGTGTAGGTTGTCTTCTAGTTCTTAATCAAATACACATTTAAGTATCATATTTGTGTTTTATTTTTTTTAAATGTGTGTTGATTTTTTTTCTCTTCAATTAGAAGAATGGTAATTTCCCTCTAGGATAATGATGGTCACGGAGCAGGACAGTTTAGACTGACGCACAGAACATGACTCCTTCCATACTGATTGCATTTATGTAAAAGTGCTCACTTTCCCCACCTTAATCCACTCATTAGCTGTGATTTCCTTTGCTCCCCCAAATTTCCTTTTATCAGTATAGGAACACCATCTGGTACCACAAACAGTAAAATCAAAGTCCACATGCAAACATCCTTCCTCTTCACATTCAACATCTGCTTTCCTCTGCTGTTAGGAGTCGCATTTTGAAGGGAAAAGTAGGAACCATAGCAGTAATTTGAAGTAGGTCAGGCAGCTCTGATGCTTGATGAAGACGTTTGTGATGAGGATTTCAAATCACCAGTGTAATCAGTATTTGTGTATGTTAAAATTCTATGTTTTAGGCATTCAATTTATATAGTCCTTGATTTATTATTTTTTTATGTTTTTCACTAGCTAAGTAAGTGCCTCTTCTTTACTGGTGGCAATATCACA